CCCAAAATTGTCATGTGCTTCAAATGTGGAAGGGAAGCGCGCTGGGGGATATGGCGGATGCAAAATCATCATCCCAATTATCATCGGCACCGCTGCCGGTGGGCGACCGAAACCGCTCCGCGGCATCTTTGTCGTTGCCCGTCCCCGACCCCCGAACCTGAAAGTGATTCTCTGGATGGAAATGACGAGCGGAAGTGAAAAGTCCTTCTGTCCCTGTCCTGGCCCGGGGCTCATATAGCCTGGTCGGAGGGGTTTCCGCGCGGAGCTTGCTTCCGGTAATCGCAGTGCCTCATTCCACTCCTGCACGCTCTTGACGGCTTTCTCATATTCGGTTGATTTCGTGGGAACGACAGAATCGGATCTTCTGGCATTGACGATCCAGGGGTGCTTCAAAAGCTTCCGCGCGGCCACTCGGAGGTTCGGGTCTTTTTGGAAACATTGCATCAGGAAATCTCTCACAGCCTGCTTAATGGTTAGTCTTTTCAAATGGCGACATGAGCAAGATTGAAGGGGCTGGGGGGCGGATATGGAAGGCTAACAGGCGATGCTCCCTGGGGCAAGGGGGGATGGTCGTCATTAACGATACGAAATAAAGCCTGCATGGGCTGGAATTTGTAATAGGGAGGTTTCCCTTCCAGCAGCTCGATGACGGTGCAACCGAGACTCCAAATGTCGGACGCAGTAGTTGCGCCGGAGAGCTCTATCACTTCCGGCGCCATCCAGTACGGCGTCCCAACAACGCTAGACTCATGGAGTCCCGTTGTACGACTCGCAACGCCGAAATCTGCCAGCTTGACTAGCCCTTGTTTCGTGGTGAGAATATTTGCTCCTTTGATATCCCTGTGTATGACACCTTGTTCATGTAGGTACAGAAGCCCATGGAGCACCTGGGACATGTAAAGGCCGACGAGGTTCTCGGGAAATCTGCCAAAGTTTTTCGAGATAGAGTGAAGAGAGCCATTCTCGCAATATCTACAACCAGCTTGAAAATCAGGGAAACGTACTCCTCGAAAATTAGCTGCGGTTGGTCAACGTACTCCAGAATAATATTTAGCGTCTCGGCTGACTTCACAAAACCGTGGTACTTGACAATGTTTGGATGCTGCGAAAGTTAAAAGATTAATATAGTGTTAGTTTTATTGTTTCGGTTCCTGAACCGAAACAGCACGAGCCACAACTTGACAAGGCAACAAAGGAAGGGACAAGAAAAGAAGAGTAAAAACGGGCCCTTACATCAAGATTCTTAAGCAAGTCGATTTCTTGCTAAAGATTTTGTTTCCAAAAAAAATAGACATAGAACCGGCGTTAGAAAAACAAGATAAAATATCAGGGGCGTGAGAGAGGATCAATTTCCTAACCATAATAACTCTAAGCTCGCTCTTCGGCAGGTCGGTAAGCTTGATCTGCTTGACAGCCACTGTTTCACCCGTGCCCCAATTCAGTGCCCTGTATACGGATCCGAAAGCGCCCTTCCCCAAGCAATCGCCCAGTTGCTTGTTGCAGCATTAGCCTACATGCATGGATATAAATATGCATGGAACTGGGGATGAGGCAGTATCGAACATACATAGTCCGTAAGCTCCGCGACATCCTTCGCAGTAGACTTTGACGACCTCGTAGACTCCCTTTTAGATGGAGATGTGGCCGATTTAGCAGCTCGAGATCTAGGGCCGGCGGACGTGTTATTCTCATGATTATTATCTTGAGGTCGAGACGATGACGGTCGAGACGGCGGTCGGGCGGTGTCTCCCGAGTAATCGTCTGATCGTGACACCATAGCGGTTAGATAGCGGAAAATGTATGATACTTTGGTGGAGATGGAGGAGGAGACACGGAGGCATGGGCGGCGGGAGGAAGTAGTTGTTTTTGAGGTGAGGGAGGAGTCAAGGGGGGGAGGACGGAGGAATGATGAGTGTCATGACAGGGCGAACAACGGGCGCCACCAACAACAAGCTTCGATCCGAATGAGGGGACGAAGGGAGGATGCTCGGCAAAGGTATTTCAGGAGGAAATGAAGCGGCAGTAGATGTTGTGGTGGTGGGAGATGAGGCAGTAGTAAAGACGGAAGATGGAAATGGAAGTGAGTTGGTGGTGAAGCACATTTCCTGGTTCCAAGGACTCCACCCTCGAAACAAGCTAACGATATGATCCAGATCTCTGGAGGATCCTGATTAGTGTGCGAATTTTAAACGCTTGGGACATGGTGCTCTTCTTTTGGAGAGAGAAAACTGCAATTTTGCTCAATTTTCGACTTCAAACCCCATTGTCGGATTAATTTTGTGCGGTGTCCTCTTCCCCGCCTACGCAGCCAGGTGTAGTAGACCCGGCGATGACGCAGTGGAAAACGCGATAAACAAGAAGCCGCCGACAGCTGGTGGTCGCTTGGTCTCAGCCCTACTGATAGACAGATACATAGTTAGTGAGATATCTTATCAAGATGCTAACCAAGGCTGGGCAGATACCCGGACAGAGACCAATCCCTCAGGGCTTGCTTGCCCGATAAAGTCAACATGGAATTCTATACAGAATAGCTCCAATGTGTACTCTGTATCTAATGAAACAACGACAAATGCAATATACAACAAGACATCCTTTTTTGTTTAAAAACTTGAAAATGAACCATCATCAAGCCTCCTTGATCGACCAACTAACTACTACTATCGATAGCCACACATCACCGCCCACCTCGCTTTGTGTCTTGAGATGTGGTGTTTACCCATGTAGCATCAACATCAAGCATTGCCATTAACATCAAGATTGCCCACTGCTGGATGGGTTGTTTTTGGAAGCCTAAAGCCTAGCTATTTATCAGCAGTAGATGTCGGAGTTTATATAATTGATAGTGAATTGAGTTCAACTGATGAGAAAAATGCCCGATGTAATTGTCTTTTTTTCCGCCGCAACAGACTACCCAACAGTGCACATTTTAAAATACTAAAAACACACGGCATCGGAGAGATGATTCCTTTCTTCTGTTCTTTTTCCTCTTCTAACATTCTTTGATATAATGACTGCTCTGTGTATAAATACCGTAGAGATTTTCTCCTTTTCTTGTTTTTTCTACTTAGTTTTACCAGTAGTGATGAAAAAAAAAAAAAAAAAAAAAAAAAAAAAAGTAAAATTCTTCTCCATGAGAAATTTGTCACTCGAGTTTGCCGTAGTCCTATCAAGATATCCATGTGCCAGTTTACTTTCATGTGACTAAAGTGATGTCAACTACAGAGGCTCATCTCAAAAGTTCTTTCTCATACTAAAATTGAAGATAGCAAACTAGGCAAGTATTCTAGTTATATCGTACAATCTATATACAATTATTTGCTGTCTTCTTTATATTAATTTCCATATTCTAGCCCTACAATCTTTTGAATATGAGTAGGAATCCACTTTCTGCACGGCTCTTTGATGCACTCTTTTGTGTGATTTTGTGCTCTACCCAGGGTCAGCAAAGGTTTTATAGAATTAAGGTCCAGACAATTATCTGATCAGAGCATTCATTGAATGTAGTATATATCATATATTCAGTGTTGAATATAGTGATTGTAAGCAGAGACCTTATTTTCTTGAATAACTGTATCTGAGTGTTCTTTTACCACACTCTTTAACAAAGGGAAAGAGCCCTGAAATGAGGACCGTCCATTTGAAAGGTCTGCCAGAGCAAGGAGCATCTTCGCAATAGATATTCTTAATAACAATGGATTGAATATTTGAATGTTTGATTGTGCGAGTATATATAAGATAAATTGTACAGTATAAATGGATATGCTAGTAATACTGAATATTTCAAGAGAGGTCTTTTGAGCAATAGATTTAAAAGAATCATTAGAGACTGTGTTGCAATATCAGTATGTAATTTAATGAAAAATGAAAATATCATCTCTATATGATGATGCAGATTTGTGGAAATTCAATTGGTTGGTGTTGGTGCCTTGGTGGAGAGAAACTTTTGAGACGAACCTCGGTATCATGTAGGCTTAATTCTAAAAAAAAAATAAAATGTATTTACGATTTCATAATGCCACATCAAAAGACATT